TTGTTTCTTCTAACACAATAACAATAACATCCACAATGTAGTCGTTTAAGAGTCTTGTTTATGGGGAGATTCATTCTCTCTGAAGTTTCAATGTTTTTATTTATATTAGTTTTGATATAATAATATTTTGATTTTTAGTATAAGTTTTTGTTATCTGATTTATCAACCATATGATTTGCAAATTGCAAGCTTCCGCATGACGCCCTAATCACCCTTCAGAACCCAACAATTTTCACCCCAGTCCTAGCACTGAAATACTTGTATCTGGGGGGATTAATAGAATGGAATACGACATAAGTGACAGACAAATACCCATGGTCCGGACTCCTTATAAAACTTAAATAAACACTTTTTCTTTTAAGTTAATTTTTGCGATTATATTAGGCTCGAGATCCATTTCCTTCTAATGATGTATCCAAATATTTTATTTGTGTTGAGTAAATGTTATACTAACGGATGTGTCTCATGAAAGTACTAAGTTCATAATTTATCTCCTCTTTATATTTGTGTTTTTATTTAGATATGACCAAAGCAAAAAGAGGTCAATTGAATTCAAAATCTAAGAAATCCAATAATGAAAACCATTCAAGTTCATCATTAAGAGATTTGGCTCTAGGGTTGAATATATTCTCCATTGGAATATAATTACTCTTATCATATGATTCTAAAAGTTATATATATGCTATCATCGCATGTCATTTGAGATAGCTTAATTTTCAACACCACATACGCTCCCATATAGATTAAAATAAAATAAAGTGATATGTAAGAAAGATCTAGATATAAATAATAATTAATACATAGAACTTGAATGACATAATACATAAATATGTCTTTTAATTTAGCTTCAGCTGACATATATGCCCTCTAACTTTAGATGTGCAAAAGTAGATACTTAAACTTGTATAAAATTGAATAAGTAGAGACACATATCCTACGTGACATAATACACATACGTAAGATGTCATATAAGACAAATGTGTTTGTTTAACTTATACAAGTTTAACTGTCTACTTTTACAGGTTTTCAAAGGAAGTTGCAGACGATTGATACGTCTTTCTTGTGTAATCGTTGGGAATTCGTTATTTTCTGGCAGATAATGAGCCATCTTAGTATTCTTCTGATATGATTCTTAAAGGAATTGGTTGATCAGTTTATATATGTTTATGATTTTGTGCATGATATAATTAGTTATTAGTACTAGTGACATATACAACATATTCATCAAAAATAATACTATTATTTATTCCACATGCTAGCTAGAACTCGCAAATTATTCATCACCAAACACACATACTTATAATGTGTATGGACATAGTCACGTAGACATTATATTATTTATTATTCCACATGCTAGCTAGAACTCGCAAATTATTCATCACCAAACACACATACTTATAATGTGTATGGACATAGTCACGTAGACATTATATTATTTATTATTCCACATGCTAGCTAAAACTCGCAAATTATTCATCGATCATACAAACACACTTATTTCTAATGTGGGCGTATATAGATATATATATACACTATTTCTTGACAAGGCGACTTTCTATATCCTTAGTCATATATATATATATATATATACTATTTCTTGACAAGGAGACCTTCTATATCCTTAGTCATGGCAAGGATAGCACCCAAGTGAGCAAGGGGTTCTAGGGTATCTTTAGTTTTCTTTTCGTATTCAACTGTCCAAGTAGCCCACTGGCATTCACAAGATGTTGTAATATTAAAGTAATTATACAACTTTAATAGATCTCCTTCAATAACTTTCCATTTGATTGATTTCTTGTGAGTATTGACGGCTTCAATTAATTGCTTCATATACATTTCCTGTCCAGCTATAATCAATAAAAACAGAAAATATAAGAACTCGTTATCACTAGTTCAACTGTTCAATACCTTATGAAAAATTTAAACATTTACAAAATATTATTTGGTGAGAAAATAATATTTGTGATGTTATTACTACTTTGATGAATTTTTTTTATTACTAAAGATTAGTAAGTAATGTTAAGTGTTAGTTGGAGCCAATAGAAAAAAATGTAAAAGTTAAAATAATTTTAATTAAGAATTTCTTCCACCCATTAGCGAAAGAAGTTATATTCCTTTGTTGAAGCAAAAGGATTTACTTGTACTATATTTATGAAAATTAAACACCATCGAATATTTTTTTTCATGAAGATTATTTTCTTAAAAATTACTCCCGTCCTTAATTATCTGTCCATTTTTGAATTGACACACCTATTAAGAAAACAATGATTGACATAGTGAGTTTACCATTTTACCCCCTATTAATAATGAAGTGAATGGATTAAAAACTTAAGATTTTCAAAAAGTTCTACCTTTTTCAAAGTAATTAATTGATGGTATAATAGGTAAAAAGAAATTGTCCTTTCTTGATTTGTCAAAATGGACAAATAATTAGGGACAACTAAAAAAGGAAAATTGGACAAGTAATTAGAGACAGGGGGAGTAACTTTCTTATTAGTTATTATCAAATACTCCTGAATAGAGAAAATTTATGCAAGTAAATCATGTTGAGAGAGGGATAGAGTACGAAAAAAATTGAGGTAATATCTCAGATGGTCACTCAACTATTGATTCTTTTCTCAGAAGTCATTCAACATTGATTTTTAACTCAAAAGTCAGTCAACTATGATTTCTTTTCTCAGAAAATCACTCAACTATGAGTTCTTTTTTCAGAAAGTCACTCAACCTATTTAATTAATTATTTTTTTAATTAAAATTTACTTACATGAAATTTTTATTTCTAACTAAAATTATAAAAAGAAGACCCACCTACTTGACTCGATCCACTAAAAATATAATAGTGATCCTTTTTTTTTGCCTTTTTCCCCAAATATAATAGTTAGGATTAATTATTCTAAGAACCTTTAAATTCCATGAGTTTTATGATTATTTTCTACGCTATGTTTAATACGTATTTATAGGAACATCGTTCCAGTTTGAAAAAAATATATTAAGTATTGTATATTGACGGTGAAATTGGATATTTTTAAGCATAGTATAATTGGCAGTACAAATTAATTGAATAGGTTTAGTGATTTTAAAAGTAAATACTCATGGTTGAGTGACTTTATAAGTAAAACATTCATAATTGAGTGACTTTTGAGTTAAAATTCAAAGTTGAGTGACTTTTTGAGAAAAAATCTATAATTGAGTGACTTTCTAAGAAAAGAATCCATAGTAGAGTGACTTTTAAATTAAAAATCAAAGTTGAGTGACTTTTTGAGAAAAGAGTTCATAGTTGAGCGATCATCTGAGATATTAACTTGAAAAAAATTGTGTTGCCTTCGTTATATTTCCAACTAACAATCGAACCAGGCTTTATGATTTCACCTTCATGAATTTCAAAATGAACGACATTTGTAGGACTTAAATTGGGTACATGATGAGTACTGGTGTGAAAAATATCAAAAAATGAATCTCCTCCACACTTCATCTCCATTGAAGCAATCAACTTACCTTTCAAACCCATATTTTCTACTTCTTAAGAATAGCAATACGTTGTGAAAAAAGTGGTGAGAAAATATTTAGAATTTGTAGTATTTATATACATTTTAATTAAATGTGAAATGCTGGCTAGTAGAAACATTATACACCACATATCTACGAGTTAATAACATTTTGCACCCTCAATGTATTATCATTTTAGCTAGGATTGTTCATGATTATGGATAAAAAATTAAATCGAACTGCAATCCTAATTAATCCGATTAAAAAAATTGATATTGGGTTTGATTTGGTTATGTTTGGTTTTAAATTTTGAAAACCGATACTATTTGGTTTGGTTTTGGTTTTACTAAAAAAACCGCAAAAGTAACCAAGCCGAACAATAAATTAGATATATAAATTTCATAATTATTTATATATTATTCATAAATAAAATATAAATATTTTGTTAAATTTTAATTAACTCAAGTCTTTAACTTTACCAATTTCTCAAGCTCAACACTTAAATTTTAACTCAACTATTACAATCCTAGGTCCAAATCCATCAAAATCCTTTACTTTAGTCTTACCTACCCTACCTCACATAAGATATATAATCAAATTTTCTCTATTTGAATCACTTTGTTCGTGTAATAATAACTCTAGTATTGCTTAATTGAGCCACCAATAGCTTTCATGTGGATTGTTCATGTACTAGGTGTTCATGTCTATCGAGATACGTATGTCCTCAAAAATATTATTACTTTCAAACTGAAAAAATCAGAAAAATTGAACCGAACCGAATCAAACCGAAAACAACCAAACCGACGTTATTTTTTTCATTTGGTTTGATTTGGTTTTAGAACTTTAAAAAATCGACTAGACTGGTTTGATTTTGATTTTAACCATTAACCGATCCAAACCGAACCACGAACACTCCTAATTTTAGCTATTCACACCTTAACCTATTTTTAAAAAATAATTTGTTACTAACCTTTTGCTTTTATAGCAAAATTACCTTTAAAACGAACTTACAAGGTATCATACATATTCCTTCAAGGCGTTAAATGTGAAACTTCCAATGTCGTATGATAGAATAAACAAATATTATTATAAGAACAAATAATTGTCAGCGACGTAATTAGAAATTTAATTAAAAATGTTCAAAATTTAAATGTATATAAACATAATTTTTAACTTATTTACATAATATGTTTTTTTATAAATTTTATTGAAGTGTGTTTAATAACCACCTTCACTCGATATAGATACGTCACTGCAAACGGTTTATATAGCACATGCCTATTGCAGAAAATAAATCATACTCCCTCTGTTTCAATTTATGTGACTCACTTTCTTTTTTGGTCAGTCTAAAAAAGAATGACACATTTCATTATTTGATAAATATTTAATGATATTATCCCTATTTTACCCTTCTTGAATCTCATTATTTCAATAGTTGCACTCTTTTAATTTAAAGAAAAAGTTATTGAAATGTAGTAAAGTACAAATATTTTTCTCTGACAGTCAACAGTACTTTAAACACTTTTTTCAATACTTTGTCATAACCTTTTCTTTCTTTTCCCCACTTTATCATATTCTTTCTTTCTTTTACATTAATTATTAATAAGGATATTTTCGGAACATTGTAGAGTCTTTCCATTTTTCTTAAAATTTATGTCAAGTCAAAGTACCTCATATAAAATGGGACGGAGGGAGTATCTATTTGTTTGATTTTCATTTCCTAATACCTATTGGCACAATATGCCTATTGTGTGAGATATAAAATTATAAATGAAAGGATGTCATATCTCAACCATAAAATAAGACTTCCTTTGTCCCATGAATTACTTTCCTTTTTAGTTAGTCCAAAAAAGAATGACACATTTCTACATTGACTCATTGAGTAACAATTTAACTATAAAATATATATTTTACCCTTAATGAAATGATTTACAGCCACACAAATTTCTATCATTTATTTTGGACCACAAATTTTAAAAGTCTTCATAATTTCTTTCTTAAACTTCGTGGCGAGTCAAACTACCTCACATAAAATAGGACAAAGAGAGTATCTTTTTAGACTTTGCAAAATAAGAAATAAAATATCAAATAACATACATCTTATAATGGAATATTAGAATTATGGTAGTCGGTAAATGTCCATAACTTTCTAAGAAAGTCATTACTTCTCATCATTATGATTGTAACTCAGTACATCTTTATAACATTCCTCATGATTTTAATAGTTAGTTTCATGTTTATAATATCCTTTAATATTCCTTAATGTAAGCCCATAAATAAATCTATTGCGAATCATACATGTATGTTATACATACTTGAATAAACTTCGAAACATTTGAAAGAAAAAAAAAGTTTCATCTAACTAGTGAGTTGGGAAAAACTAAATGACATCTTATTTTCTTAGTTTCTCATCCAAAATATGGAAATTCAAGTTCAAGTCCAGATCGTGGATATTTTCGCCCCAGACCTGGCACTGAAATACTCGGATATGGGGGGATTAATAGAATGGAATACCACTTAAGTGACAGGCAAATACCCATGGTCCGGTCTCCTTATAAAACTTAAATAAACACTTTTTCTTTTAAGTTAATTTTTGCGATTATATTAGGCTCGAGATCCATTTCCTTATGATGATGTATCCAAATATTTTATTTGTGTTGAGTAAATGTTATACTAACGGATGTGTCTCATGAAAGCACTCAAGTTCATAATTTCTCTCCTCTTTATAATTGTGTTTTTATTTAGATATGACCAAAGCAAAAAGTAGGTCAATTGAATTCAAAATCTAAGAATGCAATAATGAAAACCATTCAAGTTCATCATTAAGACATTTGGCTCTAGGGTTGAATATATTCTCCATTGGAATATAATTACTCTTATCATATGATTCTAAAAGTTATATATATGCTACCATCACATGTCATTTGAGATAGCTTAATTTTCAACACCACATACGCTCCCATATAGATTAAAATAAAATAAAGTGATAGGTAAGAAAGAACTAGATATAAATATTAATTAATACATAGAACTTGAATGACATAATACATAAATATGTCTTTTAATTTGACTTCAGCTGACATTTATGACCTCCAACTTTAAATGTACATAAGTAGGTACTTAAACTTGTATAAAATTGAACAAGTAGACACACATGTTCTATGTGACATAATACACGTAGGACGCCGCGTAGGAAAAATGTGTTTGTTTGTTTAGTTTTATACAAGTTTAAATGTCTACTTGTGCAGATCCAATGTTAGAAGACATAGATATCAGTTGATGCCAAGTTAAACAACACATTTATGTATTATGCCGAACTTGAATTCATTTTTTCAACTTAGAAACTTTTACCTAGGGTTCCATATGTATGTTCCTTTTACATGCAACTATAGATTCCCTCTCTAGAAAGCTTGTTTTGTACATGTACATTTCTCCCCCTTCTTTTCTTGGAAATATTGGAGTAGTATATATCCTTTTGACTTACTAGAAGTTGGAAGATAGTATATGACAGTTTATGGATTGATTTTACAGATGGTGACTCAATTTTTATTTCCTTTCATTAAAATTATTGAATTATCTCTTATAATAGAAAAGTCACCCGATTTACTTAAGTATCACATAATCTCATTGAATAAATTTATTTTATGACCAAAGGTGGCTCAATTTTACCTAAAGATCACAAATATAATATTATTAAGAAATCAATGAAGTAATTTAATTTAAACTTCAAACTAGAGGGAGTATATATTTTCTAATTTTGGAATTCATTATGCATAGAATTCCAATAGTATAAACTAGTGAATCCAAGGAGAAAGGTATCCAAGTAGTGTAACACTATTCCCCCCTTTTTGTCCCCTTAGCCATTTCTATATAAATCAATCATTCATCCAAAAGGCTCTTTTGTAACATAGCAATCTATTTATTATAAGTTGTGAAAAATGAAGAAGATTAAAGGAAATAGTTGTGATGGAGCCAAACCAAAAGAAAGACACATTGTGTCTTGGTCACAAGAGGTACTAATTATTATTATTATGGTTATTTGACACTAATTAATTTGGAATTAAGACATGATTGATTGGTTGGTTATTGTTTTATATTTGTTTTGGTCCTTTTTGAGATGTTGTGTTGTTGCATCGCATATTTGGCCACCTGATGCTATAGAGGCCGGTCCCACTCTAGTATCCACTTTGATTCATGTAACTACGTTTATGATAACAACTTGCATTGATGTTTGTTTTGAGTTGCAGGAGGACGATATACTACGAGAGCAAATTCGTATTCATGGAATTGATGACAAGTAATGTCACTTATCCTTTCGATTCTTTTTTTTGAGTTGATTTCTCAAATAATCACTCGACTAATAGTTATTATAGAAAGTCATTTTCTTTGTTAAGGAAAAATTGAAATCAAGAAGAAATGACTTTTCAAGATAATAACTATTAGTTGAATTACCAACTAAGAAATCAACCTTTGAAAATATTCAATAATCTTAAAAAGGGCCATATTTTTGGTATCTAATAAGACCAAAAAGTTTCTCCATATGGCTATGGAAGGCGGCGTGATGACAGAGTCAGAATTTTCATTAGGAGGGTTGAGGATTCAAAATATGAAGAAGTAATCGTACGAATAAGTCGAATGGGGTTCAACATCTAACATACACTGTAAAAAATAATTGTCCTTGAGCCCTTACTAGCTCCGCCCTTTGAAGCTAAATGATTTTTTTTCTTCATGATGTATGTTGTAGTTGGACTATCATAGCTTCAAACTTCAAGGATAAAACAACTAGACAATGCAAAAGAAGGTTTGTTCCAAAATGTTCTCTCTGTATTTGACATTTCCCCTTTTTCATTTACTGTATTTTTTGTCTTTTGGTTAACTAATGTGATTGTGTTTTTAAAAAAAAATCTGCAGATGGTTCACTTATTTGAACTCTGATTTCAAAAAAGGTGGATGGTCACCTGAAGAAGATATGCTTTTATGCGCGGTAAAATGATGTTATGTTGAATGTAACATTGTACTTAAGTCGCGTTTCTATTTGGGAGATTTGGTTTTGTAATCATTTACAAACTTGTTCGACTTATGTGAATAAGGCCTCATTTGTTTCCATTAAGATTAAGACGCCTGAATCTGAATGAACTGTGATTACAATGTACATATCTGATAGAAAAAGATTGCTTGCGCGTTTGCAGGCTCAAAAGATCTTTGGAAACAGATGGACAGAAATTGCAAAGGTGGTATCAGGCAGGTAATTACCAGCATTGTATTTTGGTACTAATTGTTAGAGATTATGTTTTGTGTTTTGAACTTTTCCTTCGCGTTTAATACAGAACGGATAATGCTGTGAAGAATCGATTTACTACAATCTGCAAAAAGAAAGCAAAACATGAAGTAGTGGCTAACGAAAACTCTACTTCATACATTAATCTAAATAACAAGAGAGTTATGTTTTCAGACAGAATATCTGATGTTTCCGCTCCTGATAAGAAGCTGAGGTAAAATGAATATAGTTTGGTTCAATTATGTCGCGGAGATACCAAAGTTATGTATTATATAACATACACTCGTCGTGATATAGGAGGAGGAACACAATTGAGAGCTCTGTTGATGATTGTCCGAATAATAATCAATCGCTTAGACATCCATTTGCAGTGCTTGCTCAGAATGTCAATAACTTGAAAGAGACATATGAAAATGGTAACAATCTTTGACAGTAAACTTTGTAAAGGGGCAGTTGAATATTAGATGAGAGAACATATCATTGATTTTGTAATGAACTTTTTATGGATTTTCAAGGAACTTTCCTTAAGAAGAATGATCGAAAGATAAATGTGTTGATGCAACAAGAAGAATTACTGGCACTCAAAGTTAATACGGAAAACAGTAACCAGAGTCTTGAAAATGCTTGGAAGGTAAGGTCAATTAGTTGTTATTTTAGTTCTTTTTTTTTCTGTATCTAAAAAGTTATATTTTTCTAGGTAAGCTATATTTTTACATTACTGATTGCAGAAGTTGTAATCTCGTTGAGGAAGCAACAAGCTGTAAAAGGCGCGCTTAAGCCTTGAAGTGAGGCTCAAAACACATTGAGCTCTTTACTTCGCTTAATGTGTGCTTTAGTGTCATCATCAAGGCTTTTAAGACACTTTTCGTAGAGGCGACACTAAACAATTGAAATTTTACTTTATCCTAAAATAATTCTGTTTCTTTATCCATATGTTTGTTATTCATGCTTATAATTATTAGTCTTGGACTAAACAGATATATTTGTATGTTCTTTCCATTGCTCCTTTTCCACTTTATTTGCGCTTAAAGCCTCAATAGACCTTAAAGCCTTTTTGTGCGTTTTGGTATAGATAACACTGCCTCTGATGGGATGATTTGAAAATTTTGCAGGTACTCGATGATTTTCTTCATCGGATGAAGGAAGGTGATATGCTCAAGTTCCGGCATACAGAGATGAATTCAGGACACAATACTCATAAGAATCTGATAACAAACTCAAGTAGTAACGAAAGGAACCGACCATCTAAAAGGTATTGACTAGCACAAGCTTATTTTTCCTAGTGCAGACTAGTCTAAAATCTAGATGTACATACAGGCAACTTGCTTTATCTCAAGAGTCTGGTGGCAGTTCAGAGTACAATACCGGATCAACTCTGATTTCGCATGCATTGAGTAATAAAACAGAAGAAAGTCAAGTTAAGACGTGTGGGCATGATCAGGAGATTCAATCTGGTTTGCAAAAGTCTCAAATAGGTGATCAAACTGGAGTTCAAGAGTTGGAAAATGGAATTTTCTGTGATCTATTATTCCCTCATGGTACGACGAAGAATTTCATATTACATAGTGACTATTCTAGATAGCTATGTTGAAATCTGAATTGCTTTATTCTTATAAAAATGATGATTTTGATTACGTCAGATACTCCTCTTGTTTGTGATGAAATGAAGGACAATGATGTATCAGCAACAGCTGAATGTGAATATCCTTCTCCTCTTCAAGTAACTCCGCAATTCAGATCATTAGCTGAAGCAATTCCCAGCCCAAAGTTTTCCGAAAGTGTAAGCAATCATTGCTTTATGTAATACTTCAGAACTAAATCCAGCAACAAACTGTTATAAGTTTGCTTATTTGAGACATTGTTAGAAACTAACTAGCATTTTTCAGGAGAGACAATTCCTATTGAAGACACTTGAAGTTGAGTCTACATCTCCTCATCGAACCACGAAACCTCCATCTTGCAAAAGGGCACTCCTCCAAAGCCTATGATCAATTTGCATCCTTTCTGATGACACATACAAAAATGCAGGGCACGAGCGCGCACACACACACACTCACACATACATAAACATGTACCTAGTCTGTTTTCTTAATGTGTCTCATTTCTTGTGTGTGTCATCATGGAACTCGAATGGAGGTATTCGATATTTCCATAAGTTTTTGGCATTTGATAAGCTTATTGTACATAACATAATAGTGTAGTAGTTACAAATTGGCAACTCACCAAAGTTTACAGAGTATGTAAACGAAGATAGTTATTTGTAGAGCTTCTTCCAAGGCTTTCTGGTGGCTAAGTTGCTCGGACTCTTTTAAAATGTTGTCGTACCCTTGTCAGATTCTTTAAAAGTTATGCATGTTTGAAGGATCTGACACTCACTCGATTTTTTTTTTGAAGAGTCCGACCAACGTAATCTAGTGTAGTTGGTGGTAGTGTTAGTCAAGTGTGATCATTATTAAAAAGCAAAAGGTAGAGGGCAGAAGGATGGAGGGAAATCTCTATGAATTAAAGCTTAGTATTTAAATTTAAAGCATTCAATGTATTAATATGTACTACTTATGTATATCATGCCTAGAATCTTTGCAATTATTTTCAATGGATTAAAATTTGTGATGTAGTTTCAATTTTGTTGTTCCTGTATATTGAATATCTTGAAATTACAAGGCACAATAATTGGACGTTTGACCATATTTCATTGTGAAATTTGAAAAAAAAAATACTATTGTTTTTATTTTCACAGTGAAAATGATATTTGAAAAATTGGAGTTACATTTTGTTTGACCAATATTAATACTAATTGATGTTGTTTTTAACTTTTTGTGAGTAATTTGGAGTGAAAAAAAATGAAAACACCTTTTTGTTGTTTTTCAAATTCTGTCAAAACATGTTTTTTGGAGTTCAACTCTAGAAAAAAGTGGGAAAAAATTCATGGTCAAACGTCCTTTCGATGCTAAATCCTTGCTTTATAATATGTTGGATAAATATCAATATATAAGCAATTGGCCCATTAGCTCAGTTGGTTAGAGCGTCGTGCTAATAACGCGAAGGTCGCAGGTTCGAAACCTGCATGGGCCACTTCTTTTTAGAATTTTCAAACCTCTTTGGAAAATCGTTTATTCTTATGGGCCACATCTTTATAGAATTTTCAAACCTCTTTGGAAAATCGTTTATTCTTATGGGCCACATCTTTATAGAATTTTCAAACCTCTTTGGAAAATCGTTTATTCTTATGGGCCACATCTTTATAGAATTTTCAAACCTCTTTGGAAAATCGTTTATTCTTGCAAATTATGAGATTCTAAAATTTTGTCTATGATAGAGTCTCTTAATAAAGGGCAAAAAACAAAAGGTGTAGAGACAAAATTTTCACACGAAGCTCCTCAATTTATTTATTTTCAGTAATTCAAGGAGACTATAAATACATAAAAAAATAAAAATACATAGCATTATAACAATAATAGTAACATTAACAACATAATACAATAACTTGATTAATATATAGTGGAACTATAGAGTTGACTATTTTGAAGCATGCTCCTTTGCTATTTGCTCAAAAAGACTTCCATCATAGACAGCTTTTACAGTTTCTTTTGTCAATATTTCATTCTTATTTTTGCCTAAATCATATAAAGAATTCCAATCTACAGAAGCATTTGCCCTACACATATGAAAAAAAATTGAGTTAAAATTAAATTAAAAAAATTAAGGAGAACAATCTAACCAAAAAGGAATAAAGATAATTGCACTTTGTATAGAGGTTTAATGCTCGAAAATATTGTTTTAGATCATATATTTCAAAAGTTTATTTTTTATTATCTTAAATTGTATCTGGTCAAATCACGAAAATTGAGACGGAGAGAATAACAACTAATAAAAACAAAGAAAGAGAGGATACCATCCATAGTAGTCCTTTGGTTTTCTATTGGTCTTGAGCAATTCTTTCACTTCATTGTAGGTTAAAGAATCTGCATTTTGATTTGCATGCTTCTTAAAGATCTCCTCAAACTTCTCTGGCACAAACCTTGAACAATAATAGTAAGTCAAATCAATTTAGGCAGTGGCAGAGTCAAAATTTTCAATAAGACGGGTTTAAAATATGAAGAAGTAAACACACAAAAAGCCGAAGAAGGTTCAACTATATATATATATAACCAATGTAATTTTTCGTTGAAAGAAGTTCGAATGAAACCTCTGAACCCTTACTAGCTCCGCTCCTAACTGGACCAAGTGTAACTATACATAGTCACTTTGGTCCACATGACCGGATCCAACATGTTATGTGTGAATTCACGAAAACTCATTAATTTTTGCTCAATTTATATATATATATATATATATATATATATTAAAATATTGGTTAAATATCTATACAAAGCCAGAATTTTATTATTTATAAGGTAGTTATGAATTTACCTCCCTTCAGAGTCATAGGCACCAGAATCACTACCATGTATGGCATATTTAATGTTTTCTACCACAATGGGGAAGAATAAAGATGGGCATTTTCCCTGTGACACACACAAAAAAAAAACATATAGTATCACATAAAATTAGAATAAACTCTATTGTTGAGAACATATTAGTATAAATCATATCCAAAGATGACTTATTTATGATCCACTTTCAATGCCCTAAGTTTACTTTGAAAAATATCCAAGTCTAAATTACTTTAGGAAACTTCATAAAAAGGAAGTACTCTGTCTGTTTCATTTTACTTGACTTTTATATTAAAAATAGATTATTATTTTTTACAGGTCTGTTTTAGCAAATCAAGATAAATTTGGTCTTTTATCAAATATGCATGGTCCCTAATCTAATTTCTAAGTCAATAGAGAATTCTACTTGACAAATTATACCAACTTTTAAAAAAAATTACCAAAAATTTATTATGGAACCATACGTAAAGAAAAAGATACAACATATACTGAGTGAAATCCCACAAAGTGGGGTCTGAGGAGGTAGACTGTACGTAAATCTTATTACTACCTCACGAAGATAGAGAAGTTGTTTCAGAAATACCCTCGATATATATATATATATATAAACGACTTAATTATATGGAAATTACCGGTCGAGTCTTGTGACTGAGATTAAAATGAATGAGAACAGCGGCAAACATAGAACGGAAAATACCACGTCCCATCTTTCTAAAAGCTGAAAAAATTATTATAAATCAGAAAATAATTAGGTCAAGTCAAGAAAATATATATTAGTGTATAAAATAATAGGAAAAAAATGAACTCTATGTTTATTAAATTTCACTAATAGAAACAAATATTTTCTCCACTGCAAATCAATGAAAAATTTATGCTATAGAATATGATTTTTTCATTCATTTTCCACCGAACCAGTACACTCGAAAAATGCATGGTGGAAAAAAGAGACCATATTCTCACAAAAATAGTGGAAAATTTTCTAATTTTTCCATATGAAACAATTATACCTTTTTTTTTTCTTTTCATACTGATTCAATTAAACATCTATAAAAATAGTTTCTGAACATTTTCCAATAAAAATTTCAGAAAAAAATAATGATTTTTTTAATAGCGACTAGGAAAGAAAAGAATCAAAAACCTTGGTACGTTTCTGAAGGGTAAATTATTCCATCATTATTGATATCGAAGAACATGACATGCTTTTCCAAAGGAGTGAGCTCATGATTATTTGCAATTATTCCTGCATGGATGGAATGTATGCAGATTTTATATAAAATAGGATAAATAAATTAAAAACCTATTTTTACTATCTAATAAATGTGAATAAGCAAACAACACTCCGTCATATTAAAAAGCTATATGATCATAAAAAAAAAAAAACTTATACGTACCGTCAGCTTGACTGCAACTGGTTGAGCTAGCCATGGAAACTACATAATAATATATCCAACGAAAATATAAGAAGAATGTGCAATAAATAGAAAATAAAGGGAGAATTCAAGCTTTTGTTGGGGAACATGATGTATAATTAATTAAATACGTAACACGTATTTTAAAATATTTTAAAGGCATAATACATAAATGTACTTTTTAACTTAGTTTCATTTGATATCCATGTTCTCTAATTTTGGGTGTGCATAATTAGTAGACACTTAGATATAAAATTGAATAAGTAGACATATACGTCTTACGTAACGTAACATACGTAGGACGCGGATTGTCATGTAGAACGCCACGTAGCGCACATGTGTCTGTTTGTTCAACTTTATACAAGGTTAAGTGTTTATTTGTGCATTGAAGGACATGAATATCAACTGAAGACAGATTAAAAGGTATGCCTATTTTAAACACTTGAACAAGACCTAAAATATTGAAAAAGTGGATAAAATATTGTAACTTTAATAAAGATGTGTATGTGTCTATGTGAGAAGAGAGGGAGGGGGAGAGAGATATGAAGCACACCTTAAAAATGGAGTCCCCAAAATGAGTTAATTTGATCTCAAATAAGTATTGGCTATTTATAGCCAATTTCTGTTCTTGCTAACTAACTTCTAATTTAATGCAACTCCGTGTACGCAATATGTGAAGACTGTATCGACGTGGTGCACTGGATGAGGTTGCTCTTTCTTTAATCAAAGGTTTTAGGTTTGGATTTTTTGACGAGGAGCATTTTTACTCGAATAGGGCATTGTGAAATCAAAATATATAGTCGAGCTCTCAGATAAAACTTTAAGCTAAGTAATTTTATTGATACAAAATAAAATTACAAGACTTTACTAAATAAACGTTTAATAACATATTAATATATTAACTCTAACTTGGAAGTTGGAACGTAGAAAGTACTAACAAACTACAATAATCAATAATGAGGCACAAAAGAATAAAATAAAATTATCCAGCTATTACGCTGACAGAACATTAGTTACATTTGAAGTCTTAAGCTTTACAAGAAATCAGCCACATATTTCTTTCATTTTTTAATTTGTTTATTTGATTTTATTGTGATACATAATTAAGTAGACTTTTTTTTGAACTTCTTGATTTTAAACTAAAAATATATAAAATGTATCAAATTTTATTATTTTAGACATGTTATTTGAAAAATTATATATATAAAATAATACTTTTAGAAACAGACTAAAACAAGTAACATAAATATATTGAAACATATGTAAGTCCACGTTCTTTATATGTTAGCCTATACGCAAACGCAATGTCACAAAGAAGCTACCTATATTGTTTGATTTCTTTAGTTTAAGGTTTTAATAGTTTAATTAGTACCGAAATTTACGCCCTAAGATAGGTTAGACATACAATTAGCCAAAGGTAGGATGAGCTAAATTGACTTATCATCATAATTTCAGGATGAAAAGTAA